GGTCGCCAGGAGAGGGGAGCGGGGCGGCGGAAGGTGCCGTCGGAGATGGCGAGGAGGCTGCCGGAGCGCTCTCGGACATATAACATCCATTTCCTTCCTTCCTCTCCCCTATCGATCTCATCCCCACCGCGACGGCGTTTAAACTCTTGCAAGATTCTCTAGCTTAGCACGTTTCGATCACTCTTGCACATCTGATTTCCTTCAGATTCAGTCACGGCTGGAATAGGCAGAGCAGACAGACTTTAGACCAAGGAACACTTAATATGTCCCAGATTTAATGTAAAGATAAACTAACTCCGCAACACTGTTCGTCGGTGACAGGCATTAAGCATTTTTTTCTCCCCTATCAATTCAGAGCGACAGCCACTGCAGGGGAATTTTTTTCGTGGTGACGAATCTTAGACAAGTTGCCATCTCTTCCAATGCGGAGAGCGTTAGTGTTCCTACTGCGGTTTCGTTTTTGTTTTGTTTTATTTTTTCTTTAATTAATTATCTTTCTGTCACATACCTAATTTTTTCAGGTCTGGAAAGCACATTTACAATTTTAACGCTGATAACCTTATTTGAAGGGATAATTTTTCTCTAGGGTGTATTTATTAGTGAGCCCATTCCTCACATTCTCTGGCGAAACAGCTATTGAAATTAGGAACAAAATTGCATTTTACGGGTAGGTAAAATGCGATAGTGGAAACGGTTATGTCTCCTAAATGGCAGCTATTTCCGTTTTAGATTACGATCAGAAATCTCAGCTGTGCCACTCGACGGCCCGAATAGGACCTCCAAGGCTGTGACACAGACGAACCACACCACGAATTTCCTTCTCTCTGTTGCCCAAAAAAGTGAAGTGAGTTTGAGATCCTAGTCCCCTAACAGTGAAATTTGCCCCATTTTTTTTTACAGTTGGAGAGTTTCTCTTCTGTTTCTTTCAACGGAGCACCTCACTCCATTTATTTCTGAGGGAAAAAAAAAAAAGGAAAAAAATGCCTCAACAAGAGAAGAAAAAAAAAAGAAAACACAACAAAAATCTCAAAACCTTTTTTCATTTCCCTGAACATGCAAAGAAAAGAATATCTGTTCCCAAACCTTTAATAGTTTTACTCACTGGAAAGATACGAAAGAGTTTTCCCTGTAGCTATTCTATGCACCTGAATATAATTATTATTAAAGTTGCTGTGGCTGGATGCATCTATGTTCATACAAGGTTCAGCTTAATTCTTGTTTTATTGCAGCCTCCGCGATAATGGGTTGGGTTTAGAGTGGGTTGTGGATGCTACGCTGGAACCTCTCTGCAGCCAGAGTTTGAATAACAACGCGATGAATCTCCGAGCGCACAGCCGAGTAACACCAATAATTCCTAATCCTTAACGCAAGACAGGGCACAACGTCATTTTTGAACGTCCGAACGGTTTTCCCGACCGAGACGCTGCGCTCCAGGAGAACCCCCCTTCCCTCTGAGTTTCGGGGGGAGACGCGAATGGGGGGGTGGTGTCTCATTAACGTTCATTGCGGGGCGCATCTTCCGCGGGATGGGGGCACGGGGCTGTTTCGGCCTGGG